GATTTATGAATTTTTACGATCCCGATCGCTCGTATGGGCCCATGCGACGGTAGAAAAGAATTTATCGTGGGACTCACCGACGCGACCTGGAAGGGTCCAACCACAAATTCCAATCTCGCTAAATCGGTAAAGGCCCCTCCAGAGGTGGCACTTCGATTTTTTCAACGCGTCCACCAGGCGCTTGTGAATGATGCGAGGTAGACTCCAGACCGGCGCTCCCGAACACTCATATTTTCTCCGCACAAATGGAGTACACTCGCGAGATCAGTTCGTCCACCTTTTTGTCCCCTAAAAAGGAGTTTCTTTTTCTCTTTAGTTTTTTTTTTTTTTTTCAAAAAATCAACATCAATTCGACAGACGCGGCGTGTTGCGTCGCATCGCGTTGCGTCGCGTCACGTGCCGACTTACACTGTCGTGGCAACGAGTGCTCCGTCACTGTGTTCCATAGCAACATCACCGTGTGAAGGCGGGTCTGCTTAGCGATTGGTGTAAAGCGATCTTGGAAGGGAGAACGGAGGGGACTTTGTTCGGACAGAGAGAAACCTGAGAGCGATCATCTCGGCTTTTTTCGTGTAACGCTCATACCAGCGCACCAACGTACATTTTTGAGATATAGGAACTAGATATCACGTCGATTTTGCGAAATTGTCGGTAAAATCGTAGTGTCGAAAATGGATGTGATGTGCGTCCGTGCTAATAAGAATTGCCAGGATTGGCTCTTGAAATGTATTATTGCTACATAAATATTAAAACGTACATTTAAAATCAAGTCTCGTAAATAACGTGTACTCTGATTGAGTTAATTACATTAATATTAAAAATCAATGTTATTATATTATAATTAAGATTAAAATGTAAAATTCTAAGTTAATCTCTGTATAGCAAGCTCTCTCTCTCTCTCTCTCTCTCTCTCTCTCTCTCTCCTTTGTATTTAAATTTATCTAATAAATCTTCTATAAAAGATTCTTAATATTAATATTCTCGTTTTTTAATATATGTATTTAAAAAAATTTAGATCATAATTTACAAACACAGATTTTATAAAAAAATTTTACATATTTATTTTCCCTCGATGGGGGAGGTAGGGAAAGATCTTGCTTCATGTGGAAAATCGTTCGC